GCACAAAAGCAGGAACACAGACTACAGAGAATAAGTGAAATTATTGATTTATGCCATATTTGAGATTTGTGTAAAAACCCAATCCCTAAAGACACCATCCAGCAATCCCTGTACCTAAAATAACACAATATTCCTAATCTACATTGAAAAAATAGTTTTCTAAAGAGAATGTCTTCAGAAATAAGCCAGCCCAGATGGTGGCTGACTCTGGGTCAGAGTGTGTTTTCAGTGTGGGCTCTGAAACCAAACAGAAACACGTTAGAACTTACTATAATATAATTACACGCATGCTTTACACATATTTATGTACCATAAAGCATATAATGGCTTAATGCTGCATAGTTTGTGCAGTTTCTGGTTTAATACACTCAGTGTGGCAGTGTGCAGCTCAGCAGGACTGTTTCCCTTTAAAATCTAATTTACTGGTTTTACTGCTACAAAGTGATAAAAGCTCACTCCCTTTAGCTGAACGGACTCATCCATGCCACAAATATGACAAAACTTCTTTTTGTGGAGAGATGAGAACTCTGTTTGTAAAATGGATCATTAGCTGACTGAGTCCCTTCAGGCTCCTGCCTCCTTTAGACTCGGCTGCAGCAGCAGACTACTCCTTTTCTCCACCCTCCTAGTTCAGATTTCTGTTCTCACGGCCAGATTACTATTGGAAATAAGTCTGTTTAACTTYTAAGACTTACAGTATGTTCATTGACTAAACAGTCATTTAACGTGCAGCAAAGAACAGAGTGACAGAATGATATTTAAGCTGCTGCGGCCTGCAGGTAACTCCTCCTGAGTAATCTGATTTGTTACTTTTCTAAACAGGCCGGTCTGTGAGTGAGCTAGAGCGTCAGAACAAAGCTGCCTCAGTGTGCCTCATGCAGAGAAAAGAAGGCTGTCRTGTTACAGCATTAAAACATAAATATACTTTAGACACAACTGTTGAYGTCTTTATTTATTATGTTGTATTGCAGGGACAGATCATTTATATAAATGATGGAAGGCGACAATTATTTGTTGACACTATGAGGGCTACGCAGTGCTGCACACGTACCCAAATATAATGAAACTGTCATTTTAAAAATATTTGTTTATATATTTTTGTATACAGTACTGTAACTTATATTTCAAGTTCATATGTATAACAGTTGTACTCTTGTTTTATAAATATGAATAC